AATGGGGGTAAGATTCTGAGAATGGGTTTTGAATAGGCATAGAAACGGCGGGACTTTTCAAACATTTTTTGATAAACGTGGGATGACTGTCACAGTTTGAAGAGTCAATATAAATGTGCCACGTGTCACAAATAGGATATAGTGTCAGGTACGTGAAGCGACGGGGTATGGTAGGTATAGTACTGAAGACCGATCTTATCCAGCTCGGTGGGGTTGGATATTTTAATCATGGTGGTATTATTTGCTTTAGTTCGGTCGGCTTGGACGTTTTAGCTCGGTTGGAGAAGAATAATCCCAAATCATGCGTTGCAGATGGGATTAAGGGGCAATTAAGAGGGTAATTTGTGTAAAACTTGGGCCGAGCTATAACCGATTAGAAAGTGGACCGAGCTATGGGCCGAGGCAGTCCCTTGCATAGCTCGGTCCTTGATCGTTTCGATTTGGTCATAGAGGTTTGCCATTAGCTTGGTCAAGGTGCTCTAGACCGAGATATAGGGGAAGAAGAATCGAGCTAGAGCATGTCCAAGGCGTCACTGAGCTAGGTGAGCACGGTTAAAATTAGTTTAAGGCAAGCCAGTGCTAGCTCAGTGACACCTTGGGCATGCTCTAGCTCGGTTAAGCATGGTTGGGCCATCTCACTTGGTTAAGTAGTAAGGAGGGGGTAAAAAGATAAGCATTATCTTTTTGACTTCTAGGAGGACTCTGCTAAGGAGAATAGAGTCCTACTATGATTGTGCAAACCATCTCACTTGGTTGGTAGTGAGTAGGGTGTGTGATTCCTAAGAGGATTCTTATAAGGAGAGTTGGAATCCTACTAGGATTATGTCAGGCAGAATCCATAAAAGCTCATAGTAGGACCTATGTACTGGTATCACAATTCTCATCCTAGAATACACAAAGCTTTTGTGTCTATTGTCTACTCGCTGACTTAAGCATCAGAGAGGTTTCTGGCACACATCCGCCGGCTAGCTCACGTTTATGTTTTTAGGTGACGAAGCGACGATGTTTGGAGGAGTGCAAACTTGATCAATAAGATTATGCAAGAACATTATTTCGTGCTCGTACAATTGGCGTCGTTTGTGGGAAAGCACAAAGAACAAAACCTTTTGATTGAGTTTTCTTCTCTAGTTGAAACCAATGGCGCACAATGAAGATTTGCCGCAATCTACTATTATTGGGCAAACCCCGGAGGGGGGCGGGAGGCGCGAAGGTTTACCTTCTATCCCATCCATGGCAGAATTAGAACCCCAGCGACGGAACTCCCGGAGGGACACGCGGGAGAGACGGGACACCAGTTCCCGTCGCTCTCAAAGTCCTGAAAGACAGAGGCGGAGGTTGGATCCTCAAGTTTTGGAGGATCGCGTGAGGGAGCAAGACGAGTTAATAAGGAGGATGACGGCAGACATGGAGACAATGAAGTACCAAATAAAGAAAAAATGGGTGGCAACAGAAGAGGCGCGTAAAGGCAACACGCCCTCTTACCACTCGGAAGATTATGACAGACATGTCACACCATCACAAGCAGAAAGTAAGAGCCTTAGAACAGGCGACATTCAATCAAGGACTTACAGGACTCGTTACTCCAAGTCTGAGAGAACAAGGACTGAACGATCGTATATAGAGGGAAGCAGCTATCGGCCCTCGCACACGCACCAAACGACATCTAGGCACATTGAGTTGCCTAGGTTAGCGGACTTGTGAGCAGTGCTCAAGGAGAGGGCCCGATGGAAAGAGGACACCAAGGTACGCGACCCTCGCAAAGTTACAGCGGTTGGCCCCTAGGAGACATGGGAGTGTCGAGGTAGGGATGCCAATGCCGCCCCTTGCTTACGAACTAGCAGATAAAGTATTAGCAAGGTTACAAAGCTCGCCGTTCGTTCTGACAATTGAGAACGCACCACTACCCTCAGGCTTTCACCAGCCCAAATTCACCACTTATGAGGGGAAGTCAGACCCCTACATGCACTTAAGCCACTTTCGCCAAGTTATGGCAGTATACTGGCAAAACGAGGCTCTAATGTGTATCCTGTTTCGATCCAGCCTTGGTGACCTAGGTCTAACCTGGTTCGAAAGGCTGCCAGAAGGCAGCATAGCCTCATGGGCACAGTTGGCAGAAGCATTCGTGACTAGATTCAGAACGACTACCATGACATCAGTGGAGATTAACCAGCTACTCTCCATTGACATGGGCGAAAATGAGACATTGAGGTCTTACAACAGTTGATATTGGGAGACTTTCAACCAGATTAGAGATTGCCCTACAAATCTCGCCATCGCACAATACAAACGGGGTTTACCAGTCGGTAACAAATTGAGGGACTTAATGACAATGATACCACCCCTCACAATAGAGGCCCTAATGGAGAAAGTGTATCAACATATCCGGGTAGAGGAAGATAGTGCTCATGCTAAAGTAAAATCTGGCACAACAGAGATGCTAGGCAAAAATACTACAACAAAAATCAACACGGTAGAACAACCAAGCAAGAATGGGTGAGGCAGGCAAGCCAACAGAGAGGACCTAGAAACAAGGAAGTTGAGAGTTCGCACTGCCATTACCACAGTATTCAATAAACCTATCTATCGGATTCTTAGCGAGATACGTGATGAACCCTTCGTTCGGCGGCCAGCCAAGTTGGGAGAAGCACAAAGAGGCTATGATAAAAGGTCCCGTTGCACCTTCCATGATGAGAAAGGACACCGCACTGAAAATTGCACACCAAGTTAGTGGCTGCTGGACACCTGGACCAGTATATAGAAGGGGGAACACAGCCAGCCCCCTAGGACCTCAACAGACCAAATGGGATGCCTATCGACGGTCTACCCCAAGGCATAATCAACATTATAAATGGGATCGTTGAACCTGAGCGGGTATGTGAGCTCAAGGGGATGATCAAAAAGGCTGAGCACTTGAGAGAGGTATTAAGTGCATAACCTACCGTCAAAAAGGGCAGAACAGAGGCTACGAATGTCATATCCTTTTCAGACAGGGATCTAGCAAGGCTACATTGCCCTTACAATGACGCACTAGTGGTCACCTTGCGCGTCAAGAATTTCGACATCAAACAGATTCTGATTGACCAAGGAAGCTCATGCGAGATAATGTACTACGAGACCTTCAAACAATTGAAATTGGAGGACGAGGACCTGACACCTGTGACATCTCCCCTCGTCGGTTTTAACTCAATGCCAGAATGGCCAGTGGGCAAGATAATCCTACTAGTCAAGGCAGGAACAATGACAAAACAGGTAGAATTCTGGGTATTGATGGTCCCTTCCACTTACAACATAATCTTGCGAAGAGCATAGCTGTACGTTATGCGCTCGGTGGCGTCAACCTACCACTAGGTATTACGGTTTCCCAATGAAATAGGCATGATTGAAGAAGTCTTAGAACACCAAATCATGTTGAAATAGTGTTTCGTCACAGTAAACGGAAACCGTGCTGCAAAAGGGTTTGTTCAGATGGTGGAAGAGCCAAAAAGCAACGAACTATTTGCAGATGTTGACAAAACAGCCAAACAGAAGGCAGTGTAAGACTTGGTTGAGGTAAGGATAGATGAAAAGAACCCAGAAAAGTTCTTTTCGTTCAACTCGTCTCTGTCCAACACTGAGAGAATAGAGTTCATGAAATTCTTAACCTCTAATATCGAAGTGTTTGGCTGGACACCATACGACATGCCTGCCATTGACCCAAATTTTATCTGCCACTAACTTAATGTCCATCTAATTGCCAGGCCAATTATTCAGCGAACTCACTGATCGGCACTCCACCACGCAGAGATAGTAGCAGAAGAAGTAGGAAACCTACTTAAGGCAAGCCAGTGCTAGCTCAGTGACACCTTGGGCATGTCTAGCTTGGTTAAGCATGGTTGGGCCATCTCACTTGGTTAAACAGTAAATAAGGGGTAAAAAGATAAGCATTATCTTTTTGACTCTTAAGAGGACTCTACTAAGGGGAATAAAGTCCTACTAGGATTGTGCAAACCATCTCACTTGGTTGGTAGTGAGTAGGGTGTGTGATTCCTAGGAGGATTCTTATAAGGAGAGTTGGAATCCTACTAGGATTATGTCAGACAGAATCTATAAAAGCTCATAGCAGGACCTATGTACTGGTATCACAATTCTCATCCTAGAATACATAGAGTTTTTGTGTCTATTGTCTATTCGTTGACTTAAGCATTGGAGAGGTTTCCGGCACATACTCGTCGGCTAACTCACGTTTGTATTTTCAGGTGACAAAGCGACGACGTTTGGAAGAGCGCAAACTTGATAAACAGGATTATAGAAGAAGATTATTTCGTACTTGTACAGCTAATATAAACAAAATTGTCAATTTTAACTGATTTTTTTTTTTATTGATATGTAAAATTAAGACTCTAGAAGAAAATTTAATTTTGTGCCCTTTTAAAAATTGACTTTTTTAATAAATTTTTAATTTTTAAACAAAAATATGAGCTGATTAATAACTTACTACCAAAAAAAAGTGCAAAAGTAAGTGAGTGAGAAAAAAATTATAATTTTTTTAATAACTTAAAAAATATACAATTGTTAAACAACTATCCTGGAGGTAGGTATGAATAATTTATTGTCTAAAATTTAGGACAAATTACAAACGCCTCTCGAGATTTGACGAAAATATAGATTTTTCTTGAAGTTTGAGAAATTACATTCCGTTTTTGAGGTTTATATTTTTATAATAAATTGTCCCCTGAGGTTTTTATTTTCATACAGATTCCCCCCTAATTTGTTATGAAAATTTGATCTTCAGAAGGCAATTTATAATTTCTCAAATCTCAAAAGAATCTATATTTTTATCAAATCTCGACGTGGTGTAATGTGCCCTAAAATTTAATAATAATCCCTCGTAATAAATACTAAAAATAAGAAGTACACGGGTGACGCGGTGAGAGCGAGTAGAGCTTGACAGTAAAAAAACAAGGGAGCGAGTAGGAGAGTATAAGAGTCTGTCCGTTATTTCTCAAACGCGGGTGAGAGAGAGAGAGAGAGAGGGCTTTGTTTGTTGGGGCTTTGGATGGTTGGTTTTCATTCTCTCTCTTTCTTCTCCCTTCGTTTTTGTTTGTGGAGAGGAGAGAACGCTGAAAGCTTTCACCTTCATCCCCCGCTCTTTCTCTCTCTAAATCTCTCTCTCTTTCTCTCTCTATATTTATATTTTCAATTTCTCTATCTGCGCATTACCGCCGCCGCCGCCGACGGCTGAATTCCGGTGGGGGATCAGCAGCAGAAGCTCCGGTGTTGGAATTCCGGCGGTGGTGATGGGGAATTTCTGATTTAATTTATGGAGGTGGTTACCTCTCATGGAATACGACGCCGGAATTTCGATGTCCCAACCCTATGATGAAGGTCACTCACTCACTCACACCTGTTTCAAATGTAGGAGTAGTGTTTTATGGGGTTACTTTGTTTGGTTTGGAGTCTTTTTGTGCTTTGAATTGGAGGTATTGTTTTGGGTCTTTTCATTTTTTAGCTAAAATGTCTGGGTTTGATTATTGATGAATTAGATTGCGCTTGGATTGTAATTAATGTAATTGGTTTTGGTTTGCTATTGAATTTGCATTGAGTTTGCTTTAATTTTCAATACCCTTTTACCCAATTTCTAAGGCCCCTTTTAAAGATGATTTATTTTTTCCTATGGCGATTCATTTATTTATTCTTTTGTTGTTGTTGCATCACATCTAATTGATCATATTCTATTATTTTGGTATTGATGGTGAATGGTTATTGTTTCAAGTTTATGCCTTTTTTATCTGCGGAAAATGAGAGAGAGAGAGAGAGAGAGAGAGAGAGAGAGTGATGTGACACTGGTAATTGTGAAAATTTAGGTAAAGTTGGTTGTCATTTTGCTTTGAGAATCATGATGGGCTCATTGATCTGTTCAGGTTTTCATTGTTTGTTCTCTGTTTTTAAGACATCTTTGTTAAATAATTTGTTTATATGGCATTGTTGTAAAACATTCTGTACATCATGTTGTCGTTTTAGTTATTGAATAGGTAACAATTTGAATTCTAGTTAGTTTCAGTTTGGTAGGATTGCAAATGGTTTTCATTCATGCATATTCTTTAGCCAAGGATGATCACTGTTACATTTTCTTCTCCATAATTGTGCTTTCTGTTGCCCAGTTTTTTTTTTTTTGAAATAGAATGTCAGCTTCATTTCCAATGTGCAAGTGTAGAATAAGAACAGCATATTTTTCAAGATTGCAGAAAAGGAATTGTAGTAGTTAAAATTTTCTGTTTAAGAGTAGTACTATACCTACTTGTTCCCAATACGTTTTCCTAATTATAGACACAATATAAGGTGATTAATGAATATATCTGGAACAAACTCACTTGTTTCTGTGGGACAAGAAAAGGTGGTGAGAAGAACTTGTTTGTGTAGAATTTAACAGAAAATGACCGCTTGTTATTTGAACTATCTCTCTCCCATGCTTGATTTTTCAAACTGACTTCTCTAATAAAATCTCAGATACATTGTGGCAAATGAACTTGAGATCAAGTGAAACAATGGAATTAGGACCTTATCCTGTTCGTGAAGGAGAACCAGACTGTTCTTATTACATCAGAACAGGCCTATGCAGATTTGGGGCGACATGCCGATTTAATCATCCTCCTAATAGAAAACTGGTAAAAGCTGCGGCCAGATTGGGGAAGTTTAAAATTTCAGAATTTATTGATATGCAGTTGAAGTACATTGTCGACCGGTTCTTTCATATATATTATATATATATATATATGTTCTGATGCCTTAGTTCTATTATGGTACAATCTCACAGGTTTATTGAATTGATGAACACAATGTTGAACAATGATTTGCATGGTTTTAATCTTGTTTTATGAAGTCTTGACGGCGGTTTTCATAGATGATAGATATGTAGAATTATTTTAGAAACCTTAATAAATCAATAAAATTTTCATTAATGCTCTGTTTTATTATTTTTATTCTTACAAACGTTTGCATGCGTATGCTCACATATCTGTAAAAGCTAAAAGATTTCCTGGTGGTGGAATATTTAAGGATATAAATGTTAAAGAAGCAACATGGAGTTTTGGGAGGTGATAGTAATAACATGTGTAATACTATGGCAGAATGCATTTAAAGAATATCGTTATTGGACAGAGAGAAAGGGAAAAAGGTCATATATATCTAAAGATACTTGGTGGTGGAATATTGAGGCATAAGCTGTAATAAATAAATAAAAAAGGAATGTTTTAAAAAGTGGCAATTGATTAAAAATGTGAATTCTCTTAAAAGATATACGTTGGCTAATAAGGAGGTTAAAAGGACCATTAGAGATGCAAAACTAAAAACCTACGGCGATTTTTTACTAGACTAGATTAGATAGTAAAGATGGAGAAAAATATTTATAAACTTGCTAAATTGAGAAAAGGTAAAATTAGAGGTTTTAATAAGGTTAAATGTATAAAACATGAGGAGTTGAGGGTGTTAGAGAAGGATCAGAAGATTAAGAAAAGGTGAAAAAGTTATTTTAAAAAATTGTTAAATAAAAAAACATTTAGAAAGCTTAAGTGGAGAGGGATATGATAGCCTTGATGAAACTAGAGAATATACATTTTATGGTGAAAATGATTAGGTAAAGAGGGATTGCCTTGGTTAACAAAATTCGTTAATAAGAAGATTCTAATGATTAGGAAAATGCCTAACAAGTGAATAAACAACATTTTAATACCTATATATAAAAACGAAGGAGATATCCAAAATTGCAACAATTATAGAGCCACTAAGTTGACGATTCATATAATGAAATTGTGGGAAGAGTGATTGAGCATCACTTAGGGGTTACAACAACAGTGTTAGGGAATCATTTTGGATTTTTACCCTGGTAGATCAACTATGGAAACGATATATTAACTAAGAAAATTAATAGAAAAGTATAAAGAGAAGAGGAGGGATTTACATACAAGTTTTATAAACTTAGAATAAGCTTAAAATATGGTGCCTAGAGATATAATATGGTGGGTGTTGGAGAAAATAGTGTGATCAAAGGGTATATGAATGTGATAAAAGACATATAATGGAGTTGTGACTACGATAATCTGCAGGAGATAGAATGTTGGGCTACTAAGAAATAACATGTTTATTAAATGAGTGTAGTTGAGATGAGGATACTTAAATGGATATGTGATAAGACTAGAAAAGACAAAATTAGAAATGAATATGTTCATAAAATCGTAGGAGTAAAACACCAGCTGAAGATAAGTTTCGAAGAATAGGCTAAGATGGTTTGGTGACGTAAAACGAAGACCTGTAGAATAGATGCAATTGTCAGGAAGAGTAAAATAATCACCATAAATAGAAATGTTAGGATGAGGGAAGGTTTAAATTGATATGGGATGTGGCAATAAAAAATTATTATGAATTTATTTAATTTTTTTGAGCTCATAGCCCTTGACAGAGCATAATGGCAAAAAGAGGATTAATAGAGCTGACCCAACTTGATTGGGAGACATGGCTTAGTTTGGTTTGGCTTGGCTTGGCTTATCTTCGACCCTTATCTTGATAGATAGTTTGTTGTAATTATTATTATTTTTTCTAACTGATGGTTAATCAGGATTCTATTCAATTCCAGGCTATTGCCACTGCAAGGATGAAGGGTGAATACCCAGAAAGAATAGGACAGCCTGAATGTCAGGTGCGCATTCATATTCTATTTTCTCCTATAAACAGTGGTGCTGCAGTCCCATCAGTTTTGTATGTACTTCTTTAAGGAACAAATGTACTGTAGAATGAAGTATATTACATTGAATAGTAACATTTTGACCTATCGGTTATTCTATGTTATCTTATCCTCAAAGTGCACAATGTTGCGATGTTATCATGTCATGTGCTAAATTGATTGTGAGATATGTTCTCAGACTTATGTTTATTATTTGCTACTTTTTTTTCCCTTCTCCCTCTCTATATGCTTTAGCATGGACAACAGCTGGACTACTTTTGTGTGCTCAAGTCACAATACCAAAAAACTATAGCTAGGTCATATTTGGTCTAAATATCAAGATGTTGATCTGTACAAGTTATTCCCCCCCCCCCCCCCCCCACATAAGTTTTATCATAGATTGAAGCACCTTAACTTTCATTTTGAAGTATATTCTGGGAAAATGTTGATAGGGTAATTTGGTGGCTAGACTACTATATATTACTGCACACATTAAATGATAAATGACAATTAATATTTTGAGTCACTGGTTTATCCTACTTGCTTTCATCAATATCCAATTAACTCCATCTGTGTTGATGGGATAAAAGAATATTAACACCATTGAGTTGTCAATTAAGGATATAATGACCAACGTTGGCAAATTCATCGTGTAAGATATTTGTTTTTATCAGTGCTGTTGTCGTTGTGTTTGCAATGAGTGTTGGATGTAAAGTTAATTAGGATTATAAATAGAATGCAGTGAGGTATTTCTTCCTCATTATAAGAATTACGATTATTAGAACATATATATTCATGTTTGAAAAATCTAAAAACTAGTAAATACAAGCTTGGTAAACTTGAGGCAAACTGGAAAATGAAGTTGCATGTTTGATTGGAAGCTGAGAAAATAATTGATTGGATTTAAGTGAAGGTGTAACAGGGAAACATGGATAAAATTTTAGTGAGCAAAACGTCTGTCAACTAGATGCACTTTTACACTGCTCTAAGTTACATTTAAAATCAATTTTGGTGTATGTGGGATTGGTATTGTCCCAAGTTCTGAATTTCAGTCTCCCTTCTTCTATTTTTATTTCATTTTCTTAAATCCTAGTAGCCTGAAATTGAATCAGTGAAATCACTTTGAGTTCAAAATAACCTTTTGTATTATGTACCATCTTGCTTCTCTTCATGTGATTGGTCCAGCTACATCCATTTTATCAGCTTTTTAACTGGCTGCAAACCTTTTATAGGGCCATTTTGTGTGTAATGGTATTTATCCCATGATGTTACATTCCTGATTATTAGTAAATGTTAAGTTAATAATGAAATCTGGTCTTTGAGCTTGACAATATAGGTCAATTCATTTTACAATTGAAGAATATCTTGTTTAGTAATGCTCTATAACATGGACATCAAATGCTCCATGACATACTGTCCAGGGGTTACTTTGCAAAGTTATGGGATCCAGACACATTTGTTGAAAGAAAAGGCATACTATATCGACATTATTTTCTACAAATTTTCTTGTTCTTATTGCATTTCAATATGGATCAGCTAGCTGCTAGAATTCTCCAACTTGTTAATGCAGGACCATGTGGAAGCTCAAATTGGCTATACAACCCAAAAAAGATGTAAATAAGAATTGAGGAGGAAAAGAAAAGGGGCAGCCCCTTAACTGCAGTAATAGGGAATAAATTCTCCAAAACTGGATATGCCATGTTAAATTGAGATTGATGAAGCACTAGGTTATGGATATAATGTTATAGGAAGTGGGAATAAATTTTATATAATGTTATAGGAAGTGGGAGTAAATTTTGTGCTTCCCTACATAATTTTTTTAGACTAGTACTGCATCTTTAAATCTTACTTGATGTTTGAACATTCTCGGAAAAGAAAACATAATTGACTAGCCATGTGTTTTTTGTTGGTTATATGGTGTAGAATGCTAGCTTGTATTCGCCTCAGTTTTATGCATATATATTATTCTGTAAATGTTAGAATGGTTAGATTATTGGCACTGCAAACCTTAGTTCCACGCAACAGAAGCGAGTGAGGGGTGGGGAAACGAGGACATATAGGAGAGTCTAAGTTTGAGAGCCCTATGGGAGCATTTAAATATTTGTATGTAAATATATGAATATATTGTAAGATTTTGTTTTTGGTCTACTTGTAATATAATAAAATGTGAATAAATATTAGCTATTAGTGTCAACTGCAAAATGTTTTTTTGTGAACATAATTAAATATTATGTAAATGCGAAGTACTAGAATAAAATTTAGTTAATTTTTTCCCTATAATTTGATGGATGCTACAGATTTTCTGTTGCTTGGTAGTTGTTCTTTTGTTTAATTAGGATTCATATGTTTGAGAGGTTACATCTCAGTTGGGATTTGGGAACACGGTTCTAACTCGATTCTTGCTTTGAATTGTGGAATCTTCACCCCATTAGGAGTTTCCTCAACTAAGCTCCAAACTATTCCTTTTGCTGTCTGTGGTATTTGCTCTACTCTGCAAATGAACATAGATATTTTGCCTAGTGGTTTAGTGATTGTTTTTGACACTTTATGTTTATGTGTAGTAACACGTTAAAATTCTCAGTTGTGTTTTTTTGTCCCTCATATTATAAATAGGAGCTCAGCTCATTTCATCATTTTAAAGTTATTTGAACTTCTAAGTTTAATTATTATTATTATTATTATTTTTTCCCTTTCTTTCTCACCAGTACTACTTGAAAACGGGAACTTGCAAGTTCGGAGCCACATGCAAGTTTCATCATCCTAGAGACAAAGCTGGTATTGCTGGAAGAGTTCCTGTAAATGTTTTAGGCTATCCACTTCGCCCGGTTTGCATTCTCTTGTTCACTAAATTCATTTTTATGTTTTGATACCAACTGTTCATCAATCTATTGCTCATAGAGGACAAATTCTCTGTTTTAATTTCCCCCCCCTTTCTTGTTCCTGGATAATGCTACACAGCATGGACATGAATATGACACAGTTTTGATATGTATATGCCAAATTTATGAATTGTGAGAGTATTAGGACAGACATCTCAAGGACATGACAACTAATTAATCATTGTTCTGCTCTTATGGTTATATATTTGTTGAGGAAGCAATAAAGTTTTATTAAATTAAGATTCAAGTTCCATACTTTCAATATTCTGTATACTTGTGTTCTTCATAATTTATATATCAAATTCAACTATAGCATGTCTTGTTAAAGATGAGTAGATTAAATTCAAGTATGAATTAATTTATCATATTTATACATAATGCACAATTGGTGATTAAGAAGTGTGTCTTGACATTTTTAAATTATGTCAGACCCATCTCAATTTCATCTTTGGCATGCATCCAAAATTTGAGCTATTCATTTTATGATTTTTAACATTTAAAATTACCAATTTGTGTGTAGATGTGGCATGTCCATACAGCAGTGCTAGCCTGTGTCGTCTGATGCTTCTTCCGATTGGGTGAAATTTCAAACTTATGTTCTCTTGCTCTTTGTATTACTTGCAGAATGAAACTGAGTGTGCATATTATTTGAGAACTGGGCAATGCAAGTTTGGGAGCACTTGTAAATTCCACCATCCTCCACCATCCAATATGATGGTCTCGTTGCGTGGTTCTCCTGTTTATCCTTCAGCCCATTCTCCAACAACTGCTGATCAGCAATCATATCCTGGAGGAATAGCAAACTGGCCCTTGTCAAGAGCTTCTTTTATTCCCAGCCCACGCTGGCAAGGCCCTTCAAGTTACGGTCCCATGATCCTACCTCAGGGTGTGGTATCAGTCCCAGGCTGGAATGCGTACAGTGTAAGCTTTTCGTTCTTTGTTTCCAGAATTGTTATGGTTTCACCGAGGCTGCTTTTATATTGTTGGGAACAGGCTTCCTTGGAATAATATAATAATAAAGAATTGATTCTAGTGTCTGCTAAAAGGCTTCTGGGATTATTTGTAATGTATGCCTATATTGTAAAAAAAAACTTGAGATTATTTTATTTTATTTTTGGTTTCATGCCTAGTAATAATGTTATAGAGGACTTTTCTTAAGTACTTGTTAAGATGGCCATCTCTAAGTCACTTCAGCTGTCATGCCTGAGCAATTTCCTGAAACATATGAGATTCTCCTTTTGTCTAGGTGAGACTGGTGGTGATTGCTTTTTAGGAAATTGTTTTTTTATTTTATTTTTTTATATCAGTATTGTTTATTATTTCATCCAAGTTCACCTTTTCTTTTTAATATATATGGAATGATATATGCTTAGAGTACATGGTTCCAGTGAGAATGCTTGACTTCTTTTTTCTCTTCTGGTATTTTCAGTAACCTTGAAGATAACACAAACAAGAGTTCTAAGGGCAGTTGAAAACTCGACCAAAAAAAAAAAAAAAACAATACAATTTAGCCTTAAAGTACCTAAGATGTAATGTGATTCCCATACGTTGGAGGACCTTGAATCGTTTGCTTTGATGCATCAGGAGCAAGGGTCAAAATTGCATTATGTTTTCATCGAAACAATTCCACTTCCTCGAAAACAACATGATAAACTAGTGGAAAACAGAAATTCTACTAGACCTATGGAATGGCACCAAAACTCACCAAAACAATGCGAAACACACCAAAGCAATGAGTAGTTTTGATAATGATCAAACAGTTAAAGATTTGAATTTTTTAATTATCATTTGAAAGTTAAGAATGCAAGAAACAAGATGATTATGGACCTATTGCAAAATTTAGTATCCAGTGCATTAAAATATTAGTTTCAACAAAATGATCTTTCACCTCAGTGTTTGTTTTTTGTACATGTTTTGGTTGAGAATCACGATGTGGGTGTTTACTTAAACTCAGAAAGAGACAAAATAATAATAGTAATAACTGAAAAAATAGAGAAATGACAAATGGCTTCTAGAAAGAAAACAACACAAAAAGAAGGCGTGGTCTTTGCTAGGGAGGGAAGGATACTTTACCGATAGAAAAAGGAAGCAACTGAGAAATTTTTTGAAAGAGAGCAAAGCATGTCAATGAGAAAAGAGGTCATTGAAGGCAGGGTTGGTGTGACTGGTGTCAAAGCATTTTCAACCCTAGGATTAAATGACCAACTTAATCTTGAACAGTGGGTTTTTAAAAAAAATTACAAATAAATGGTAAAATTTATATACATTAATAATTAAAGTCATAAACTATTCCATGATTCTGTAATAATTTTCTGATAGTACCATTGATGGGGGTAACTCCCCCCCCCCCCAAAAAAAAAAAAAAAAAAAAAAACTCAAAGCCTGTGGACATAAGAGTTGACTTGTTTTTACTGATCTGGGTTCTGGGGTAGCTAGCATGGGATTAAATGAGTTAGTTTGCAATTATAGCAAGTAGTTGGTTCTCTTCACTTAAAGTGGGAATGATTTCACAAGTTTTTGCCATTGCAAATCAAAAGTTGTAAATTTCTAAAGTTTTAGAAACTTACAGTTCCCCTGTCACAAAATGAAAAACTGAAATTATCAAAAGTTACCTGACCCTAATCTGTGGAATTCATGCACAAACTAAACTACTTATGTTGCTGGCAATATCATTCTGATATGTTATTACGTTTATAGAAATAGACAAGAAGATATGGACTTTTGCCATTGTGTGGAAGTGAAAAACTCATGGTCCTTTGAAGTATATGTAGGTAATGCTTTTTGGTATGCAAACATTGTAGTGGAGATTTTCTGTTCTGTCATCTGTGTCCATTGCTGCGTCAAAATGGCATGCAAACTTGTTTCTATTGTTTGTTTACATTTTCTTTTGTACATAACTTTGCTTTTTTCTATAATCTTGCTATCTATGTGGGACCTGTGAATCTGTTTTTGGATATTTTTAATGGTTAGGGAAAGCATGTTTGTAAAGCTTGTAGGTTCTGCCTCGTGCGATTAAGCTTACTGAGAGGTTCTGTTTCCAGGGTCAGCTGAGTTCAATGTCGTCTCCAGAGAGTCAACAACAAACTGCTGGAAACAGTATTTATGGAAATTCACGCCAGAGTGAAGCAGCAAATGCAGGATCTCAAGGGACACTTTCTCCATATCGATCTGGTTCTGTACCTGTAGGATATTATGCATTGCAGAGGGAGAATGTTTTTCCTGAGAGACCAGGTCAGCCTGAATGCCAGTTTTACATGAAGACTGGAGATTGCAAGTTTGGTGCAGTTTGTAGGTTCCATCATCCCAGAGAAAGACTAATTCCTGCTCCAGACTGTGTCTTGAGTCCAATTGGCCTTCCTTTACGTCCAGTGAGTTTAGTCTTGTGTATTCAATTGTATATCTGTTATCAGTACCTCATGCTACATAATTATACATTCTTTCATTTTAATTTTGAAGTATTCTCAGTTCATGTCCTTCGATTATCTTCACAAACACAATGTTCTGATAATCTCGTGAAGTTATTTATATCTCAAAGTCACAAACTTGGTTTCACGACAATGTTCAAGTTGCAAACTTTTTTTTATTTTATTTTTCGCCTTGTTAATTTCATCTTATTTGAATAAATGTATTTGCTTTAACTGGTCGTGGGATATTAGTGTATATCACATTTGAAACATGCACTTTCAGATCTCTGTAAGGGACAATTTGGATAAAGTCATCTTTCAGTTAAAAAACTACCCACTTCTGGAGATTAAATATCTATGCCATGGAGGTCATGATGTCTTCTGTAGTATAATGGTTGATGACTGGAAGATTAAAAGAGTTGATGAGGGCGAAAAGACCATCAAATGGTGCGTGATGTGCACAAGGAATTTAAAATCGGCGGACCATTTATTTCTTCATTGTCCGGTGGCTCTATTATTATGGCACCGTCTTTTTGGGCCGTGTAATGATCAGTGGGTTGCTCTGAAGGAATGCACTAACATGCTTCTTGTTAGGCTTGAAGGGTTTGGAGGCAATAAGAGAGCTAAATCTTTGTTGTCCTGTATTGTTTTTGCCATCTTTTGATCTTTATGACTGGAGAGAAATGCAAGGATCTTTGAAGGAAAGGAGTCAAATGCTGGATCATTATGGGATAGGGCGGGATATTTGGCATCACTTTGGGCTTATGTGTCTCGTCCTTTTAAAGGAGTTCCATTTTTCTTGATTTCTAGGGATTGGGCTGCTGTCTGCCATCCTTAGTGTTTTGGTTTTTCTTGTTTTTGTGACTTTTTGTTTTGTCATTTTTCATTGTTCGAGGACTCCTTGTCCTCTCTTCTTTTCTAGCTTATGGCTAATAACATTCTTCGTCGTTTTTTTTGAAAAAACAGACCATCAAATGGAGTGGTCCAAGTTGCAAATTTGATCACCCTATGGGGAGCGTTCAAATTAGAATGAGTTTTGGGAATTTCTATTTTTAATATATGATCTTCAAAGTTTTCATTAATTTACTGTTAATGTACGCCAAGCTTAGTATACATTGGAAGGGTGTTCTGGGAGAGGTTAATTGGGTCTAGACCTAACCTTTGGCATTAATTTGTACAAAGTGGTTGCCCTAAGGTGCGAACTCACAAACTAAAGGTTAATTTTACCTGTTGGGCTTATTGTTAGCATCCTTGGTGGTGCTGGTTTGAGTCATGGAACAGTCTCTCCAAGAATAGGGGTAAGGCTACATACATCTTGCTCTCCCTAGACTAGACTCCGCTTTAGGCCTCGTTTGGGAACCCTCCATTTTAGCCATAAAGTCAAAAAGTTACTAAATTAGCCAAAAAGCCAACAACCCATACCAAAAAGTCAAAGATTTTCTTTTCTCTCTAGTTTTTGCACATATTTTCGTAAAAAGCCAAAAAGTTATCCCAAACATACTAGTTTTTTTTAGCTCATATTTTAGCCAAATAGCCAAAAAGTTACTAAATTAGTCTGTTTCCAAACGAGGTCTTAGTAGGAGCCTTGTGCACTAAGTTGTCCTTTTTATTAAAAATTTACCTACATTTTGATTTTCTCGCTCCCAATTTTCCCTAAGATTTTATTTGTTCCCCATTTGAAAAATTATTTCTTTTAGTTGTCAGATAGGAAAAAATTTGTTTATGATTCTAGGTGAGATTTTGACCCATTGGACACAAATCCCAGCTCCGCCCTTAGTTGCATGAAGTGGGGCAAGGGGTGGGGGAGCAAGGGCATATAGAAGTTTCTAAAATTGGGAGTGTTTATATATTTTTATATGTAAATATATAAATATATTTTAATATTTATTTTTTCTACTTAGTTGTAATGTAATTGTCAATATGAATTATTATTGGAGATTGATATTAATTACAAATTGTCTTTGTTAAGTATAAATAAATATTATTTAAATAGTAAGTGTTAGAATAAGTTTGAGTTACATTTCTTTTGTTTCTTTGGTATTTAATAGTGAGTTTCTTATGGGTTTCTTACTTGGGAGCGCGGAATTGCATTTTTGAGTAAGAAATGTCACCCTAGTTGGAGTTTTCTGCTACTAAGGTTCCGCCATTGGTGGCAATAAGTCAGATCCCAATACAGGGTATACATAAAATGTATAGGGAATAAAGATGACTTGGCTTGAACATAAGTAGAAAATTAGAGTTGGGAGAAAGGTGGGATTGTAGCGGATGTGGTAAACATGAATGCACTATACACATGTAACGTAATGCATTGATGAATAACTATGATTTGTTATATAATGGAATTCCTGTTTTTACTAATCAATAAGATTGTCTGAACTGCTGTTGATATTTTTCAGGGAGAGCCCTTGTGCATTTTTTATTCTCGTTATGGTATCTGCAAATTTGGTCCAAGTTGCAAATTTGATCACCCTATGGGAGTGCTCACATACAATCTCGCTGCATCATCATCTTCAGCTGATGCCCCAGTTGTTCGTCGTTTGTTGGCTTCATCCTCAGGAAGTGGTGTATTAGCTTTGTCTTCAGAAGGGCTTGTTGAAGCAGGCTCATCAAAGCCCAGGCGACTTTCTCTGTCAGAATCAAGAAGCATGCCTTCTGGTGATGATAAAATTGACACAGAGGGATGAATGCTCCTCAAAAATGGGCCAGTTGCCCCCTTTTTCACTCTTATGGAGGATAAGCGAGAGTTATCTGTAAATTCATTTTCTGTTGCTGGAGATGTACAGAGTTCATGTTCAAGTTGAATCTGTTGACAGGCTTGAGTCGCTTGATCCCTTTTAACTTCACTTTGCTGCATTGTATAAATCTGCAAATATTGTTGCATTTGGTAAACAGATATGAACACTTCATCTGTTCTAAAAGGCCATCTTTCTGGTTTACCGGAATAAGTTATTTTTATTCTTTATTCCTTTACTTTCTTTTCTTTTTCCTTTCATTTTATATATTTATTTTTTTGGGTGAGCCCTTTTGCTATTTTTAATTGGCTTTTGGTCTAGATTTCTGGCAGCCCTTTTCTTTTCACGACGACTTACAATCTTTACAGAGTCTCCTGCTTCTATTTTTTATGGTTAAACTTGTTTTACCTGCCCTGCGTTGTCGTTGTCAATGCCATTGTTGCTGTTGCTTGTTTTGCTACGCCTGTAAAATTTATTGGGTTGATTTGTGTGGAAGCATTTCAATTTCACAGTTCCAACTGTAATTTCTCAGTTTGTTTTTCCACTCCTTATCTTTTCCTACATAGGTTCCTATTGCAGAACTCCATTTTGGCCCACTGAAACATTGATATGGAAGGCAGCAGAATCAAGTATAACTGATTCATCTTCTCACTGGGTGAATTTCTTTCAACACCTGAAAGCTGTTCTTTATGTCTTCTTGCAAGTTAGTTCTCCTTGTTGCAATTTTTGAGTTGCTTGTAGCCAAATCTGGAATCTGTATGCTGCTAAGAGATTGGTTTGGTTCTATTATTTTGCAAAGTAAAAAGATTTGAATCCTGGCCTTTCCAGGAGGCTTGGTAAAGTAGCTGACTACCAGTGGAATGTACAGCACTCACTTTGGGAGCCACACCAGTCTTCTGCAACACATATCTGTGAAGAAATTGACAGGTACACATGAACATGAAAAATAGGGTTTTCTTCTATTACAATTGAATAATAGCTCACCAGTTGACATTTTGAAGGGGTTGTGATTAATTGTTGAGTTACAGTAGGACACCACGATTTTATTGCAAGTGAGGTTTTGTAGTTTCTTGCTGCCTGCCTGATTTTATAATAAAGTGGTTATAAATGTGCTTTCTATATTCAGATTCTTATAGTCAGAAGAGAGCTTGGTCTTGACTTTTGATGAAGTATTCCTGTTTTTAACTTTGAGATTGTGCTATAAAATATGCAGTTCAATGGAGATTTTGTTGAGTTGGATCCACATCCCCTCCATTTGGAGAACAAAATCTCCTTCTGCTTTCTTTCTCTCTTTTGTTAGGTTGGGACCAAGCAATCCAACCCTTGTGTTGGGAGACCTACACAAGGGCTCCAAGGGCTCATGAGGCACTGATCTGTTGATTGCACAGGGCCTTAAAACCAAAGTCGAAGCCCTCTCGAATACTAATTGGTTTTAGGAGAGATGGTGGAAGCTGAGGTCGCAAAGATCCTAACCAGTGGTACCAGATTGCCGGTCGCTGGTTCAAGACGCCCAAGTGTGGTTCCTTGGGGAGAAGGAGGAAACTGTTAGGGTTTGGAACCAAGAAATCCAACCCTCGTATGAAAAAGGCCTACACTGGGGCTCTAAGCTGGGGGGCCGAGCCAAGTTATAGAGAATGTAACAGCTGACCCCATCAGCATTTTTTTTTAAAATTTTAAAAATAACTTTTAATATTAGTTTTGTCTATTTGCACCCATGCCTTGTTTGTTGCACACCCACACAATTTTTACATTTAACAATTTTGCTATTTAAAATTAGAACCCACTACATCAGTCCCAACTTTCGCCATTACCCCTTTAAACATTTCTATCTGTTTCTTCCAAGTTCAAACATGTTCCTTTCCCTTCACGTAACACTCATCATGACCTGTCTCTCCCCTTCCTGCGTGACAATTTTATATGATGCTAGATTATTTTATGGTTGCAAGATACAAGCCGGATACCTTGATTTTTTTTTTTACCCCCCTCACTGCAACCCATTGGCAAGCCAAACCCATTTCTCCCTCGCTACACCACTTCATAAATTCCCTCTCGCTAGCTTGTGCAAGATAAAGGTGACACCAGCCGCCACCATGAGGAAGGAGTGTGGGTCAATTAGGTGCAACCCAACAACCGCGAGGAAGGTGTGCCATTGCAGAAGCTCACCAAACATGTCAACCTGATTAATGCACCTTACTGTTTGGGACATTACCATTACTATCGAAGTGGATGTGGTCGACTACAGTGGTAAATGGTCAACCACAACATCGTATGTTGAACAATGCCTGGGCAAAATTAAAAAATATAGCCAATAACTACTTGTTATAAGCCGGGGCTATCAATAACAAATGCCCTCATTTGATACTGATTGATGAGGAATAGCTACTAGAGTGCATAGACACTTAATTACTCTCTAAATCACATAAAGATTCGCATCCTTGTGTGAGTGAGAAGAAACTTGTGTTATCTTTATATAACCTTGGTTGGAGGACTTACTTCTATTGGAGCCTTGGAGTTCTCACATTGAAGGTATACATTCTTATCTTAGTCTTATACTTAACTTTATACACTTGTGCCATCACATGCCTACACTCGGTGTGCATCTTGTATAAGTGTTTGTTAGGATTGTGTTTGGTGGTTGTTGGTTTTGGGTTGCGCCAAGCAGGTATTGATTGTTTTTGGATGTAAAAGTTTTAGGTTGTTATAGGTAAACCTTATTGGTGTAAAGATTTTGGGTGACCATAAGGAAAACCCGTTTGACTTAAGTGGAGAATGGCGACAAGGTAGGTTGGGAGTGGATGTAAGCACAAGGGTGTGCCAAATTGCTATAAATCTTGGGGTTCGTTTCTTTACTTACACTTTCCTTTATATGCTTTGTATGTATGAGATGAATGCATAATTATGTTAATCTTGATAAGTGAATACTATATGAACTTCAATGATTAACATATAATTGTATGTAAAGGAATACTGTATTGAATACTATGAACTAAACTTGGTACACTTGGTGATTACTGAAAGGAAAAACTAAAGGTATCACCGTAGTTGAAGGATTGACATTGTAATTAAATAGTCTAACATTGCATTGAGATCAATTCAACATAACTAAGTATAAAGTGTTTAATTAGAGAGTTAAGGACTCAAATGACAAAAAAGTGCTTTGGGTTGAATGTTTTTGGGGGGTAACCCCATGGGACTAAAATTCTGGGGCCTCCACTGGCTCCAAGGGCTCATCAGACTAACCAGTCAACCACATGGGGATTTAAAACCAGAGCTGAAGCCTTCCCTAATACCAATTGGTTTTTGGAGAGATGGTGTAGGCAAAGGGCACAAAAATCCTAACACTGTTAGACCTTATTCATGATGAAAATGTCCTCATTGTGTTGATCTAATTTTTGTGCCATGAAATTGTGGGTTTGAGGCCTCTCATTTTGTTACCACCTCTCTATAAACTAGCTTTCTGTCAGATAATAGATGATCCTGGTTCAAAGGTCAAAAAAAAAAATGGAAGATATATTTTTTGTCATCTCTCAGAAGGGAGTTTGATAGGCTAAAAGGGGAGTGTGAATATCATTTCTCTTGTGGAGTAACTGTTATGCAAGTACGGATATGTTGTTTTAAAAGCTTACGGAGTTTGCTATGTGCCAGCATTGTTAATGGATGAGAAGTTATTTGATAATGTTCATTAATTCTTTTACATATTATGTTTTGAATATTTTGTGTCGATTCATGATTCATTGAATCTTTTACATTTGGTTTTAGTTTTTTGACAAACTGTTATGTGTTTAAGGCTGGTGCACAGGTTAGGTCAATACGAGATGTTAGGACTCAAAAAATTGTTAGTAGTCCCTGCGAAGTTATATCATGTTCTGAGCATGAAAGCTGTGCATATGGATATAAAAATATACTGGGCAACTACATGACCAGAAATTGGTTATGCCCTAGGTCTACGATGGTTGAAATAATTTAGCAAATTTTTTTCGGAATGTAATTTTCCATGCCTTGTTTGCATAGTGCTAGTTCATAAAAATCCCTATAGTGACGAGCCTACCTTTCAATCATCTATGCATATCATCATTTCATTTCTTTGATGGCACTAGGCTCGCTCTTTCTTTATTTTTTTATTTTTTTTTCATTTGTTTTTCTCTGAGACTTTTGAGGAAATTTCTTAGACTGTATCTTAGGTAAACTAACTTTATTAGGAATTCTTGTGGAACTAACTCTAGCATTTGTTCGTGTTTTATGACCTAACTACCTTAATTGGTTTATCCAAGTGTTTTGGTTTTTGTTGATGTTGTGGAGGATTTGTTTAGTTAGTTTTGTTTAGCCCTTTTGTGGGCCTCATTTCTGTATTCTTTGCATCGTCTTGATGCTTTTTAAAAAAAAATTGATTATTTATCAAAAAAAAAAAACTACCTTAATTGGTTTTGTCACCTAAAAATATGCAAACATAAGTTCCAAGTGGATTTCTGTGTAAATTTTTAAATTTTATTGGTGAAGAAAAACTAATAGTTCATTGAATTTATGATGCTTAAAGTTTCTACATTAAGTTACAAAAAGACCAAAAAGATGACTCTTTTTGTCACGGCACTAAGAAACAATGCAGGTTTAGTTAGCTGTCCAAGTCAAGAAAATTCAAAAATGGAAAAACTGTAGCTCTGTTCTTTCTGATCAGTACTCTAATTGGTCAAATTAAGAACATTTGAAAATTAATACTGAAAAGCTGGAAAGCTGACTAATTGGGCTGATATTCAGATGTGGCCTGAACTGCTAGGGTTTCCTAAAGGTACTCACTTATGTTTCTATTTATGCTTTTTTTTTATTTGCAAACGGTTCATATTACGTTTGCTCAAAGTCCTACAACTTTTAATGCTGTTTTGATTTAGTATGTCCAACTTCTTTGTATCATAACAGTAGTCATATTTTGGTTAGCCAGAAATTTTTCTGTTTGCTTCCATAAATGAAATAAATCTTAGTGTATGACACCTCTCACCAACTTTGATTATCACATGCATTATGTCTCTTAGTTTTTGTCTCTTTATTCTTTAAATAGGCATGCATTTGGTTCTTATCGATTCCTTTACCCCCTGCTTAATCAGTTGCCATTTATCATCACTGTGAGGGATTAAAAGAAAGACAGAGCAATGTTTCTGTAATAATTGCTATTGACAGCCACTTGGGTGTGTGGGTGACTGAGGAGGAACATGAGGTCAACCTAATTGCCTAGTTAACTTGGAACTTGATTGAGTGACCACGCATCATCCAGGAAAGATTTGAGGCTGGATGCTCTCTTACTTTTTATTGAATAAAACTATGCCTTTTTTATTTTTCTATTTTTTTATTATTTTTTTATTTTTTGTAAAAAAGATGTGTTTCCTTTTCTTTCCCTGAGGTGGTAGTGGTGTAGTGGGTTAGGTTTAGTGGAGTAGGTTTAAGTGGGTGAAGTAGGTGGAGAGTAGGTGGATTTTAACAAATGTAAACTAAAATCTAAAAACAAAGGGCCTTTAAGTGATAGGTCATTTTTATGCTTGTATTTTTTAATGTATTTAATTTCAGTCTGATATCTATAGAATTTGAAACTATGTTCAGAACAATTCTATGCGATCTGCTATTTGAACTAATAAAACCTGACATTAGTTCTTCTTTATGTTTTCTGATGTTGTACTGTTTCATTTTTTGTTTATATGTAATATACTCCTATATAACTATAAGTAATTTGAATTTTAATAAACTGCTAGCATAGTATCCACTGCATATTTCTTAAATCAATTCAAAATAGTATATAATATGGCAGTTTAAATGAAGTAGATGTACAGAAGAATAATGAATGACTTGTTTTATGTTAATCAGAGATTTGACGACTATGGTTTCTTGGTAAAACTTGTGGCAGAACCATTATTTGCAGGGACTTCGTAATTCTCTGACTCCATATTCTTCTTCACTTCTTTACTTTTTCTATTATTCTTTTTATGTTGGTGTTTAAAGTTTGTGACAGGGGAAGAAGCCTGGGACCAGGTGGAGAAGTGCATAAGACATCAATGTCTCCACCTCAGTCTAAGTTTGCAGTAATAATTTTGGTTTGCCACTTGATGAGGTTAAATTCTACATGTGGTAAGTCAATTGATTCCGTTTGCTTGTTTGCCTTAGCATCCAACTATGGAACCTAGACTTCTCAGCAGTGTAGTTAAGATTGCCGAGGGTGAACCTATTAATTGTTGAGTTCTACTCTTCTACTTGAAAGTTACATTTCAAAATAAATCTACTTTTATTTAGTCTGAGCACTTGGAATATAATTTTGCCAGCAGCTCAATCACATGCAAGCACACATACATAATCACAGAGACAGATGTAGAATGCATGTGTTTTGTTTGTGCTGTTGTTGTATAGAAAAGTAATTGTTAAATACTATTTAAAGATTGACTAGTACATCCAGTGTTACAGTACAAGGGCTTTCTTTCCGATATAATATTGACCTTCGCATTATCCTTCTTTGGCTCCAAGGCCACAACAAAAACTTATGCATGTAGTGTAAAATGAATGTTTCAAAAAAAATTAGTAGGAGAGGATGTATCATGGCTTGTTGGATGGTTTTGCAGTATTTTGGTTAATGACGAGCAGTTGGACGACTTTTGGATTTTCATGATTCTTTTTTAGACTGCATTTAGATACTTGGGTAGTGTAGATGCTTTTAAAAAACAATTATCTACAAAAATATTAAAAGCTGTGCTCATTCTACCAGTGATTTCATTTTCTAGCTGGCCTGCAACACTTCTTTTTTTGATTTGCATTGGGGTGTCTAGATCACAGCTCGATTAATCCCCAAGGGTGCACAGACCCGCAACAAGAAGTTTTTGACAAGTGCACTACGGTTAATTCAAGGGGTTCTTCCCCAATCTGATGGCCTCAAGGAATTGTTAGTACTTAAGAGGTTTCGATCCCTCAACCTTGGAGGGAAGTACACGACCAAGACCCAAGACCCAAGCCCTTGCCACCAGGCCAACCCCTTGGGGTTAGCTGGCCTGCAACACTTGCACTCTCTTTGGTTCTTGGGTTGGCTAAGGGAAACCAAATTTCTTGCTTTTGTTTAGATGGACTGAAAAATTATAAGAAAACAAATAGGCATTTCTCAGAAATTCTTTCCTTTTTTCTTTCGTTTCATTACCCATGGAAAATTAAGTGTTTCATACACCTTTTCCATTTTATTTTCCTCAACAAATCCTATATCCAAATATTTGCTTAGTGATAGTAATTCTTGATTTCTTAGTCATTCTTTTTGTAGATCTTGTGAAGTGGGGACCCCCCATGTGGAAATTCTTGAACATTATCTTATTTAGCAAAAGTAATAGTTTACATGTCCATCACCACAACCATCATCAAATGTATATTCCCTTTTCTGCCCATTTTGTTTGGTGTTAAGTGTCTGGTTCTATGACCTATACATTCCTTTTCCTATCTTTTTGCAAACCTTCTCAGGTTATCCTTACCTTTTCTTATCTAGTCCTTGAGCTACACCTATAGGAACACTTATTACTATTGTTGTAGCTTTTCATGTTGATTATTTTGGTAACTTAAAAGAGTAATCCAATTTTATTGGTCATGGTGTCATTTATTTTGCATTGTCCATTGGCTTCACCTTTATGACATCACCTTTTTCAAATGGCGGAGATTTGTTGGGCAAAGCCGGCATCGTGTGCTCAAATGATTTTGGTCGATTTTGGGTGTTTTGGGAGCAATGATAAGCATTATTCTTGTGGAATTGTGATTTTAATGCAATTTCTGAGTTATTTGGTTGGATCATAATGCAAGTATCTTTAAGAATCTGTTTGAAGAGGTGGTCTCTTCATAGTCTGTTACTTGGCATCTTTTTGAATTTAGTCTCCACTCCCTTTAGAGGAATTCCACTTTTTTTGATTCCTTGAGAGATGAGGGTATTGTGTGATTTTTAGTGTGAAATTTTGGTTGTCCTTTGTTTTGCCTATTCCTTTTTTTTTTGGACTCAGCTTTTCATGTTGATTATTTTGGTAACTTAAAAGAGTAATCCAATTTTATTGGTCATGGTGTCATTTATTTTGCATTGTCCATTGGCTTCACCTTTATGACATCACCTTTTTCAAATGGCGGAGATTTGTTGGGCAAAGCCGGCATCGTGTGCTCAAATGATTTTGGTCGATTTTGGGTGTTTTGGGAGCAATGATAAGCATTATTCTTGTGGAATTGTGATTTTAATGCAATTTCTGAGTTAGTTGGTTGGATCATAATGCAAGTATCTTTAAGAATCTGTTTGAAGAGGTGGTCTCTTCATAGTCTGTTACTTGGCATCTTTTTGAATTTAGTCTCCACTCCCTTTAGAGGAATTCCACTTTTTTTTATTCCTTGAGAGATGAGGGTATTGTGTGATTTTTAGTGTGAAATTTTGGTTGTCCTTTGTTTTGCCTATTCCTTTTTTTTTGGACTCTTTGTTCTCCATTTCTGTTGTACTTTTTCTTCTTTTCTAATAAAATTTCTTTTGTTGCCGATCAAAAAAAACAAAAAAAGGTGAAATCCTTTCTGAAATAAGTTTTAGTGGAGGCTTCATCTTTAGAATCGGCATCATATTCTCAGTGCATGAGTGGAGAGTGATGCAATAGGTTCCTTTTGACAGGATTGTGGATTTAATGCAGATGCCAACTCACTGAATTTGTCAATGCTCACGCTTGATATGTTTTATTTTGCAGAGTGATTTTGATATTTAAACTAAAGTTAAATGTCCTATTATTCAGTTTTATTATTGTCCTTTTTTTAATTTTTTAATTTTAGTATTTGTATTATGAGACAATTAAAATTCACACTTGCTCTTTGATATTGCAGTTGCAGGATGTCTCTACTTGCACAAGGAGTTGATACTTGAAACATCTTATTGAGCTCGGGATTTACTATGTATGAGTGTCGTCAATTTGTTGATGAGATTACTGTTGGTTTTGTGGCACTGGTGATGGAGTTTCATGTTGTTTTGGTATAGTCTGAAATTTGGACGATTTTAGCCCTCATTGCTGATGACCACGACGATGAACAAACAAAGAGTATCATTCCACTTCCCCCTCTGATCTCATCTCCATCCAAGATCACTAGGATGAGACACTTCTTAGAAAGTGGATTTGATGCAAAGAAGATGTTGGAAAAGTTGTGGAACCGTCAGCTTGTATTTGTTGGTGATTCTATTGGAATGGGATTCCTTTCTCTTCTCCACATGCTCTCTTCAGCAATTCGTGACAAGACTTCAAAATATTAAAAGTGAACAGAAGACCAATCACAAAGCACTTTGGTTTCTTCTTGGTGTTCAAGTTTAGGGATTTCAAGTGCACTACATAGCTCCATTTCTTGTAGTGGTTGCGGAGTTGTGCTCTGGCTGGTTACAGCTTTAGAAAGGCGAAGAATGAATTGAAGTTGGATCAGTTGGATTGTAGCTCGTCGCAATAGAAATGTGCCGATGCCTTCCCTAGTTTTTAATACTCGGCATTGGAGTAGTAATTAAAAGTTAGAGACAGACAGTGCAATTTCACTGTGGTAACTATGAGTTTGGAAAGTAAAATTGCTCTTACCAATTTTATCAAAAACGGACATTTTGATCCAAAGTTAGTGTGTTTTAAATTTTGAAATAATTTGGAAATGGAAGTTTTAAGCATGCCTCGGGATTGAAAATGGGAAAACAGTGTGCTAGCTTAATAGCTATAAGATAAAGATATTTTGGTCAGAAATTATCCGTTCGCAATATTAGAGGAAATTTACAGTTTGTATGCGTCTTTATATCAATGAAATCTTATAACAAGCAAATTTTCACTAAATTTCTCCTAGTTTGGTTACGGACATCCCATTTTTTACTCTAATAATTTAAACAAGATTTTTTATATTTTATATTAAAATTTCCTACAAGATTACAAATATGTTTAAACATGAAGAAGTAGTAAAATTTAAGTTGTAAATAAAAGATTGCAACCAACATTGGAAAAAATAAAAAATAAAAAATAAAACAAATTGTTTTGTGAAGTAAAAAAAATAAAAAAATAAAAATAGCAAATTGGAAAAATAAAAAGATCAGGTAATTTTTAGCTTAGCACACATTGACTGACTGAGCTACATATATTTTGGAGAACCCAACTTCACCCATTAGAGCATATGATTTCTTCCCAATAAGCCTATGTTCCTAGCATTAATGGGTTTCTTCCACTGCTATTGCTATTTCCATTGCCGCCCCCACAACCGCCCCCACAACCACCTCCACCCTAACCCTGCCACCGCTCCCACTAATACAAGCATTAGTACATTAGTTACAAGAATGCAACCAAGCGTAGGAAAATATTTTCTACCGTTGAAAATTGTTTTCTACCAAAACAAACGGAGCATTACTACAAAGCAAAATGTTATATTTCCAATCTTAAAAAGGTGGGTTTGGACAATATTCAACTCAGTTTCATGAAGAAACAAACATTAGGGCCAACTAATGGAACATTTTATAACTTTCTTACACACACAGTAAATGCACCAGTAAAAAATGTGATCTGGATACATAACCTTCACTTGTACAAACTTTTCAAGAGAAAAATTGAAAAAAAAAACCATCCAGACATGAGATGAGATGAGACAATTCTCCATTTGAGGCCTGCCTTAGCCCTAGTCAGACCACCAATCAGGTCCACCGGGCTTTTTCACAAGGATCTGATTGTATTCCGGTCTTGCTGTCTGCAATCAAATCAATATAATTCATTCATTCATAAGAATTTCACAAATTTAACAATTGTAATATCTATCATCAATTTGAGCAATGTAGGGCAGAAAAAAAAATGTAAACTTCGAAAGGCACATGGTTCTCGGTTAAAGAATCCCATTCTTTTATTATTATTATTATTATTTTTTTTTATTTTTTTTAAAAAGAAAACAGAATCACTAGATTCACATCCAGATATGATCATACAATTGAGCATATTCTCTTATCTACATTAATTTACAAGCAAATAGTAACTATTGTTATATATCTGAAGTTGTGCTCAACATTTTTTCAGAATATAAACATCTATGTAGACTTGAAATACCAAGTAATGTCTGTCTCATTGATCAAATAACTAACTAGAAAATTAACAACCATCCCATTGCACAATTTAGTTTTCGCAAGTTTCATAGTTGAAAATGCATGTTCTAATACGCAGTTAATACATGTAAAGTTAACACAAAACAAAATCGATCTATCAATAAAAAGATAACCAGTTTTAATAAATATTATCAAATTTGTTGAACTATTTTCAAGAATGTTAGCACAATCAATATCCCCATGGCATTTAACCATATAACAAGAGGGAACCACTGGGTTGTAAAGAAGCGTATTGTTGTTGTTGAGAAGAAGATAATGAATTTCTGTTAAGACTTTTGCAATGAGGGTGTATTGGGAGCTATCCTCAGAACTGAGGATTTAACAGAAGATTATTATTATACAGCTTGATGAAAAATCTAGAGGGAGCATAGTAAAGTTATAGAGAGGAATAGTGCAAAGCTTCTCGTTGAAGATCGATTTGGGAGGAGTGAGCTGGGCTGTCCAAGCGCTTCAGCAGTTGGGGTCGTACTATAGAGGAGGATCTTTTTTTAGTAAGTATCATAGCAGCTCTGCTGTTTTCTGTTTACAGAAGTATACGAATGATAGTGGTGTCTTTGTTGAGATGTCGAAGTGGGAGGGAGGTCTTAAAAAGGCAACATCATTCTTCCGGCGGGTTATAATGGTCGTGGGTGGCTAGACATTGCTACAATGCTTCGTAAAGTCATTTGCAATGATGCCAAGGCAAATTTCAAAGACATGGAAGTCAAGGCTAACTACACAGAAGGAATACAGAGCAAAGACACAGAGATGTTTATGGATAGGAAAACAAGGGCGAACAGAGGTAGGAGGTTTGTTGATTTGTTCACTGCGAATCGGCTGAGTAGTTTAAAGAGTGATTTGGAGAGGGCTGTCGTATGCACAAGATGTGACTTTTCAAGCAGCTGGGATCAAATTGAAAAGAATTTGAGTAAGTATTTAAAGATGTTTATTGCTCTACGGCCATTTCAACTCAATCGTGCTTTGTTCTGAGCTAGTAATAGTGAGGAGGCGAGCCTTCTAGGAGCAAAGGGTCTGAGATTCTTTGATAAAGGTGTGGCAGTTAGATTGGAGAAGTGGTCCGAGGAGATGCATGTTAAACCAGAGGTTATCGTCTCTTATGGAGGGTGGATTGCAGTGTGCGATTTGCCTTTTACCCTTTGGAATGATCAGGTTTTCCAGGACATAGGAAAGAGATGTGGTGGTTTGTTGGAAGTTGATCGAAGAACCATAGCTCTGGATAATCTTTTTGAGGCTAGGTTGAAAGTCAGAGGCATCGACTCTGGTTTTCTGCCGGCGTTCATGGAGGTGAAGGTGGAAGGACGATCATCAATGGTGCGCTTGAAATCTTTGTCCAAGACAGTGCGCCGCCAAGTGGAAGCGTGGCCAAAGGTTTTCTGACCAGCATCTTCAGGCGAACCTATCGCCGCCGACAGGGAAGCCGATGGGGTGGAAAGATCAGGGAGGACACGTGGAAGCTTGGAAAGCGGAAGTCGAAAGGGGCGAAGGAGTTGAAGGGTCTGGGGACAACTTTGGTGCTGTTGTGGAGGTGGGGGGAAGACCAAGAGATAGGGGGATTAGAGTGTTATCGAATGGGCCACAGAAGGGGCATGATGGGTCAAGTAATATTTTGGGCTCAATTGATTTACTAAATGTGGGCTAGCAGATTAATTATTAGAAGTCCAATTTTGTTTTCCCAAGGGATGGGCCATTTTCTAAACAATATAAGGAGTATAATGCTGGGCCTCAAAGAAGTGATGAGTTCAATCCCAATGAATTGGGCCCAGTGGGTTATATGAATGGGGCTCATATCTTGGAGAAGGGAACCCGAGCTGAAATTCGACCACTGGGAGCTAAATTTCGACCCGATTTGTTCGACAATGAAGGACGATCACTTGGAGAGAGAGAGGTCCAGCGACGGCTGTCGTCTGGGACGCAAGGAGGTGTCGATGGTGAAGGTGACGTGTATTTACAGAGGGATAGTTAGAATCGACTAATGCAGGATGAGATTCAACTTGGTTTAGCTGATAGGGTGGACGACTCTGTTGAAAGAGAGCAGAGATTAGCAGCGAAAGCGGATGAATGGGTCGATGAAAGGATCGAAGAAGAGAATGATGCTGAATTGTTGAGTCGTAAGGTGGATGAAGGGTGTTTCGAACCTACTGAAGTGTTGCAAGCCCTGAATATTTATGGGTCTGGGTTTGATGAGAGTTTAGAGTACGACTCTGGTTCAGGCTGTGAAGGTGATGATCAAGAAGAGTCTGACCTTGAGCTTATTAATCTTCTTACTGAGAAGGGCACTGTCAAGGAGGACGAAAGTGAGGGGGTCTCCGAAACAATGGATCATGTCGGTGACTCTGTTAATCATGGCTCTACAGAACCGTCATCACAGAGGGGTCACATTGTTATTCCAAATTCTTTTTCTCTTGGGGATGGGAGAGGGGTTTCTCAGTGTCTTGGTCTTAAGTGTTCTGTCAGGGGAATGGTTGATAAAGGAGTCATTCCAGATATCTCGGGAGCCATGAGGGATGTTTCTACCATTAACCCTGTGTCCTATAATGCAAATATAAATGTAGGCCAAGTAAATGATGCTCAAGAGGGAGCTTCTGTTAAGCATTTGCACAGCAGAGGCTGTGTTTTTATTAGTTTGAGGGATAGTGAGGCAGGGACGGAACGCTGGTTGATGGAGTTAAGCAAGTATGCGTCATGTCCAATTGAGGAAAATGAAATACCCTATTTCAAGCATTTGCTTCAAGTTATGGGGCTGTCCCTAGTAAGTTTAAATGGGAGGAGTGATGTTAGTGGATTGGATAATAGTGTCACTAGGGGGGAGAGTGACGAGGAGGGGTTTCGGTTAGAAAGGGGGCCAGGGAGTTAAGGAATTTGGTGAGTACAATTAATTACGATAGAAGGCATGTGGAGGTTAGGGGTGACAATGATTATCAATGGAGATTGTTAGCTGGAACGTGAGGGGTTTGGGATCCCGGAAGATGAGGGGGATCATTAGGGGTTTTTTGAGGAAACATCAACCTGACATTGTCATTTTTCAAGAAACAAAAGTAGAAGTTTGTGATAGGACTTTTATTAAAAGTATTTGGGGAGTTAGGCATAAAAGGTGGGCATTTATATCATCAGTGGGGAGGTCATGAGGCATTTTAAGTATTTGGGATGAGAGGGTTGTGTCAAGAGTGTGAATCAATAGTTGGTGAGTTTTCCCTATCAATTAGGTTTAGGAATCTAGATCTCAATGAGTGGTGGTTGTCGGGGGTATATGGTCCAAATTGCCCTTCTAGGAGAAAGGATTGGTGGGAAGAGTTATATGGTTTATTTGGGTTATGTTCTCCTAATTGGTGTTTAGGGGGGGATTTCAATGTGGTTAGGAAGGTTTCAGAAAAGCTTAATGGGAATAGAATTCATAGGAGTATGAGAGATTCTGATGGTTTTATTAGAGGATGCGAGTTGGTTGACCCTCCTCTATTTAATGCCAGATTCACATGGTCTAATTTAAGAGAAAGGCGGGTATGTTGTCGACTGGATATATTTTTATTTTCGTTGGGGTAGGAGGGGGTTTTTCCCAATGTCAGGCAGGAGGCATTACCAAGATTGGTATTTGATCATTGTCCAGTGATGCTTGAGAGTTGTCCTTTTAGGTGGGGTCCGGCTCCATTTAGATTTGAGAATATGTGGTTGGAACATCATTCATTTAAAGAGGCCTTTGAGGAGTGGTGGAATATTGCTACATGTCAGGAGTGGGAGGGTTATATATTCATGAGAAAGTTGAAGGTGACTAAAGAGAATGTGAAACAGTGGAATAGGGAGGTTTTCGGGAACTTAGAATCAACTAAATGTCAGGTTTTGCGAAGGATTAAGGAGATAGATACTTTGGAGATGCAAGGGAGTGAGATTGAGGCATTAAGGGGAGAGAGGAGGGAGTTAGGTTTGAAATTGGAAGAGTTGACTCTTAGGGAGCATATTTTTTGAGCACAAAAAGCAAAGGTGAAATGGCTAAAGGAAGGGGATGTTAGTTCAAAATTTTTTCATAGAATTGTGGATGGGAAAAGGAAGAAAAAGTTCATTAAGCGATTGGAAGTAAGGCCAGGTGTAGTGGTGGATAGAGAGGAGCAAATAGTTCAGGGGATTTTTGATTTTTATTCTAATTTGTTTTCGACGAATGATATTGTCAGACCTGGATAGATGGGCTTGAGTGGCAGCCTATTGATCAGAAAAGTGCGACGTGGTTAGAGTGACCTTTTGAGGAAAACGAGATTAGGGAAGCAGTTTTTGAGTGTGAAAAGGACAAGGCTCCGGGTCCAGACGGGTTTTTCATGGCTGTTTTTCAAGTTTGCTGGGAGGTGGTGAAAGGGGATTTGGTAAGAGATTTCATGGAATTTTACGAGACAGGGGTGGTTAATTTATGTACAAATGCCACATTTATCTGTTTGATTCCTAAGAGGGATGGAGCCATTAGAATGGGAGAATTTAGACCCAGTGTTGTCAAAAGCGTGCCTAGGCGCAAGGCGAAGCGAGGCTCAACCTGTGCGCCTGAACTGCTCCCAGGCGAGGCGCGTTAAAGAAGTCGCACGCCTTAGGTACGACTGGAAGCAAGCGAGAGAGGCGC